ACCGGCGGTCTATGCTCGATTGGGAGTAACAGGCCTAAGTAAGTAAGTAAGTAAGTAAGTAGTAAGTAAGTAAGTAGTAAGTAAGTAAGTAAGCAAGTAGTAAGTAAGTAAGTAAGTAAGTAAGTAGTAAGTAAGTAAGTAAGTAAGTAAAAAGTAATTAAGTAAGGAAGGAATTGTAAAGTGAATATTCTAATGCTGAACTATTAAATGTGTATTACAATTTGAATGATGTACTTTCAAGCTTCTTATCTCTTCTTCATTGTCATTTGATAATATGGTTCCCTTCAACTGGAAAAAAATTTTTTTTAGAAAATATCCTTCATTTTTATTGTTAGAGTTATATGTTATAATTTACAATGATATGGTTTGTGCGAAAAACGTTCAAAGTTTAATTGAAGGTAAACAAATCAAATGAATTATTATATGTATATATGTATACGTTGGATAATGATAATGAGGTAGCAACCACAAAAAGAAGACAAACAATTTGATAGAAGCAAAGTTTTTGTTTTGATACAATAATTTAACTACTAATATTTATAATTAAGTAGTGTAATTCTTTATAACGAATTTATTTAACTTGTGGCAAATATATTCCTTTTATACTCTTCTAAATTCGATAGAAATGTGCATTAAAAATTACTATAGGGGGGTAGGTATGTATGAATGTGTACATAATTTCTTCACTTTATGAAGTTGTTATTCAACAATGAATGAGAATATCAACAACAACAGTAATAATACAAACGAATTAAAGGAAGGGTGGGGATATATATAATATATATGAACTTGTTTGTAGGTATTAAGTTAAGGTTACTTATAAGGACCCTGTATATAAGAGTCTAATTATTTAATTAATGATAGATAGTTATGACACATCAAACCAGAATATAAAACTGGAGGGTTTGTTTAATCCGAATAAGGATTTATTGGTGATTGATAACCATAAAGATTAGTATCATATTGATTTTGTGAATTAGATTTCAACAAAACTCTGTCTGTTGATGATTTCCACTTTTTTCTACGCTCACGAAACTTTGATTTGTGTGTTCTTTGTTGTTGTGGTCGTTGATGTTGTCTTTGTAATTGATGAATTTCATTTAAATAAGTAGTTTGTGCATTATTTAATTCAAGATTAAAATGACTACTGAAATCATTATTAGTAGTATTCTGATTTGTAGATAAATGAGATGGATATGATAATTGTGATGGTTGTTTAATTTAGTTTTTAGATTTAAATTAGATAATGGTTTATTGAATTCATTATAATTTGGTGAATCAGATAATTCAGATGGAGCTGAACGTAGAATTTTTAATGGTCTCCCAAGATGTTGTTGATGATGATTTTGTATAGTTTGTGGTTGAACTAGATTAGATAGACTTGCTTGATTTTTATACATAAATGTGATGCTGATTCTTTACGAATAGCATTTAATGATTGACGAAATTCAATTGATTCACGATTCCATAAACCTAAGAAAGTTACCTGAAAAAAAGAGGAGTACAGATTAAATATCAGAAGGGGTTTTGTGGATATTATAGTAATTTTAATAGTTGAGGCCATGAGTCAATTGAAGCTAGACCACCATGGAAAACCTGGACGTACAATATGACCATTTCGTCCTATTGTGGAATTCCTTGGCAGTGCCACTCCACAATCCCACCTCACGAGATTCCAACCTAGGGCCTTCGACCTTTCGTGAGAACGCTTAACCTCTCGATCACTGAACTTGTTAGCATCCAATGGTATTAATGTCTAACTTCAACTAATCCATGAAGTTAGTGACACATCTACCACTGTCTTTAGTGAGTTACTATCTCACAACAGACCCAGTTGAACTCTACTTGTTATTGCTTCTTACTAGAACTCCAGGAAATACCTTTTGAAGCCAGGATCCTGGATGCACACTGCTGAGACGTCCCACAATAAGGCGAAATAGTCGTCCAGTAGTTCCAAGTTTTCAATTCACGTCTAACATCTATCGGTTCATGATCTCAATCGAAACTCGACAATCTTCACAAACTTATACTGATAAATATTAAATGAGTTCCGATAATTTACAATGGATAGAAAGGTGATATTTTGTATATATCATATATAAATCTATAATCAATCATAAGGTATTTCATCACTGATACTACTGAATCAGAATTTCATTATTATTGCCTACGAATTCAAGGAGGATGTGTGTAATCAACTTACAATCTTCTTCATTATAACTATTAGAATTTACGAAAGAATGAAAATAGTTTTACTCTGATCAACTAATTATTACATCTGAAAGAAAGATGAGAGAGTGAGATAGGCGGGCGGGTGGACGAACGGTCTGACTGACTGATTGACTGACTGACTGACTGGCTGACTGACTGACTCTGACTGATGACTGACTGACTGACTGACTGACTGACTGACTGACTGACTGACTGACTGACTGACTGACTGACTGACTGACTGACTGACTTACTGACTGACGGGCAGCAACTAGTCAGACGAAAAACATTCATGACATAATACTTTTAAACTAGTTACTAGATTACTACTCATCAAACTAACAACAACAAAACACTTCATATTCACATTCCATTCTTCTCTTCTTCCAGGGTTTCAATCCATTACTTTATAATTGGCAGGTGAATTGTTTGTTTTTTGTAGTTTTAATTCGATATTCGGTCTAATAACCTTTTCTATTGTCTTTGTAATTCTAATTTGTACTAGTCATTTAACATTTGTCTACTAATTTCTTCGTTCTTTTTTATATTGTTGTCTATTTACCGCCTTTCCACTCCCCCCTCCGTCTCTACAAACACGCACGCACGCACGCACACGCACACACACAGGGGGAGACCTACTTACATGCATATTGACATTTTCATCCTCCTTTTGAATTAGCAAAAGGCAAAAAAAGAAAAAAACATTTATCATAGGGAACATTTCATAAAGAAGCCATATGTATCCATGTCTGTTTTCAATGTAAATAATAATAATGCAGATCATTGAAACATACCAAAGAATAAAGGTGGATCGATTATTGAATTTTGACAGATTATAAATGTAGAATAAGAAATTGAATTCTTTGTTTATTTTTTGTTTTGTTTGTTTGGTTCCTTCTTTCTTTTTTCTTCAGAAAATGATGAAACATAAAACTAACCATTCTAAGATTAGTATGGGGTTGTGGAGATTATTTAAGTTTTTGATTGAGATCATGAACCGATTGATGTTAGACCACCGTTGGAAACGTGGGACTACTTAGCGGTGAGCATCTACGATCCCTCATCCGCGAGATTCGCGCACGAACCCTCAACCTACTAGACTACTGAGCCGGTATCCAACGGTGTTAATGTCTAACCTCAACCAATCCACGAAATTGCGCGACCATATTCCATTTTACTGAGGTAGATACCTGTCTCTACTCGACACAGATCATCCTTGACGAAGAGCATTACAATAGGACGAAACGGCTGTCTAGTGCTTCCAGGTTTGCTATATTGGTCTAGCTTAAATCGACTCATGATCTCTAGTATTGAAATTACTACAATATCCACAAAAACCCCTTGTGAAATTAACATTTGTTTATATTATGAAATGAAGACTGTTCACACGTGCGAGACCGATACGTCTTGGGTTCGAATCTTGTTGGGTGAGATCGTGGGTACGTATTGCTGAGGAGCCCCATACTAGGACGAAATAAATATCCAGTACTTATACGTTTCCTATGGTGGTCTAGTTTTAATTGACTCATGAATTTAGCTCTTATAATTACTAAAATCTCTACAGAAACACCTTTCTGATAAAAAATGAATGTTTTTTAAATTTAAATGGTTGACAGCATGAGTCAATTGGAGCTACACCACCATGGGAAAACTGGAAGCACTAGATAGCCGTTTCGTCCTATTGTGAGACTCTTCATCAGTGCGCACCCACGATCCTGCCTCGCGAGATTCGAAACCAGGACCTATCAGTCTTGTGCGTGAACACTTAACCTCTAGACAATTGAGCCAGCATCCAATGGTGTTAATGTCTAACTTTAATCATTGAAATTACTATAATATCTACAAAAACCCTTCTGATATGTATTTTAAATTGTTTAAGTGAGTTGAGTTTAATTGTTGTTTGATTTGTGATTAGGGAATTGTATAGAGCTTAAAGGCAGTAGTAGAAAATATTTATAGAAATGATTTCAGTGAGACTATAATTTATGGACGACATTTGTGTGACGCTAAAGAGACCTTGAGAATGTCCACCTATGGAATACGGCTAAATGAGGGTTATAAACCAGTGTAAGGAATTAGGTTGATAGTTAGGGTCAAGAATCAAATATAGGCTTTTCACAACGAACTGACATCAGGCATAATAACAAAAGTCTATTGAGTCAAATGAATGAACTTCGGGCCAAAATTCAAGACTTTTAATCGTAACTTTGATTGGTTCGTCCATAAACCATAGTCTCGCCATGATTTCATTTCCTGATGGAAAATATCCCTAGTTTGTAATCTAAGATGGATGGTGGCTAGCAGTAGAATCCAAGAAGCATGTTTTGTCCTGTTTGGGACTCGTCATCTGGATGTATGTGTATCTCTGAATTGATGTTCATTCCAGCACTCGAACCCAGTGCCGTTCACTTCAAACGCCATCACGTTATCTACTTAGCTACTGAGTCCAGATAGCCACTTGCTTGTGCAATAGGGTGAAGTTTGAATTCACTTGGTATTGTTTACTTAAATCTTTGCTTATAATGTTTGTGAATTAAGGCAATATCGATGCAATACACACAATATTCGCATATGCCAATAAGAGACTGATCAAGTGCAGTCCTAATCATCGAAAGGGATGATTCAAGTAAGCCATACCAAATGGATTTATCCCTAGTTTGATATTGTTCAACCCGGTTAATCATCTTGAGAGTGAATATTCAAATCAGGTTCTTTCATGTAAAAATATTCATGTTAATAGATTTTATAAAGATAACTAATTGATTTTAATCATTGAAATCCATTGAACAATGGTATTGCGTTCATTCATTAATAACTGGATGATTTTATACATATTCCCAATTCTACCTCAATTTCATGGATTGGTTGCAGTTAGACATTAACACCATTAGATACCGGCAATTTCAGTAGTCGAATGGTTAAGCGTTCACGTGCGAGATCATAAGACCTCGAGTTCGAGTCCTATGAAGTGGGATTTTGGATGTGCATTGCTGAGAAGTCCAATGCTAGAATGAAATGACCGTTCAGTGCTTTCATAACGATCTAGCTTTAATTGACTTATGAATTCAACCATAAAACTACTAAAATCACCACCAAACTCCTTCTGATAAATATCATCATAGGCTTCAAGAGGTATTTCCTAGAGTTCTAGTGAGAAGCAGTGACCGTTGACTGATGGAGTTCAACCGGGTCAGTTTTGAGATAGTAACTTACTGAAGTCGTAGTGGATATGTGGATCAATTTCATGTATTGATTGAAGTTAAACATTAACACCGTTGGCCTAACATTTTCATTTGTCTAGAGGTTAAGCGTTTGCGCAGGTGACCGATACATTCCGGGTTCGAATCTTGCGAGGTGCGGGATAGTGGATGTTCACTGTTGAGAGTCGCACAATAGGATGAAACAACCATCCAGTGCTACTAAGTGGTCTAACTTCAATTGACTCATAAAATCAACTATTAGATTATTATAATCTCCACAAAATATTCCCTTTCTAATCATAATGAAATATACGAATAATCTATTACATAATCATTCATACTTAATAAAATGAATATACCATTAGAATAGAGACTTAAATGAATCCCTGCGGTGAATGATAACTAAATTGAATCACGGTTAAATCGCAGTAGGAAACTTGAAAATAAAATATTAAAAGTGACAATTTTCATTTCACAACAGTCTATCCCTGTGTGTGTGTGTTTGTGTATGTGTCATGTATGTATGTGTGTAGTTTGTTTGTTTGAAAAGATTAAATGTCTGTTTTGTGTTCTTTGTATTAAACTAATGAGGTAGTGAAACATTTTGGTTTTTGTTATTGATGAAGTTTTATTCCACAGACTGAAATCATGAGTCAGTTGAAGTTAGACCACCATTGAAAACCTGGAAGCACTGGACGGCCGTTTCGTCCTAGTATGGGACTCCTCAGCAGTGCGCATCCACGATCCCGCACCACGCGGGGGTCGAACCCAGGACCTACTGGCTTCGCGCGCGAGCACTTAACCGATAGACCACTGAGCCGGCATCCAACGGTGTTGATGTTTAACTTCAACCAATCCACGAAGTTGCGCCACCGTACACCATTGTCTTCAGTGAGTTCCCATCTCACAACAGACCTGGTTGAACTCCACTGGTAACGGCTTCTCACTAGAACTTCGGGAGTTTTCCTGAAGTCAGTCACTAGTGAGCAGTTGATTATTATCAGAATGGGTTTTGTGGAGATTTTAGAAATTTCACAGATTGGAATCATGAGTCCCATACTAGGACGAAACGGCCGTCCAGTGCTTCCAGGTTTTCAATGGTGGTCTAACTTCAACTGACTCATGATTTCAATCCGTGAAATTTCTAAAATCTCCACAAAACCCATTCTGAAGTTTTATTCACTAAGATGAATAGTTTGGTTATAAAGTTTTTGATTGAGATCATGAACCGATTGATGTTAGACCATCACAATTGAAAACCTTGTCGGGTAGAGACAAGTATCTACCTCAGTACAACGGAAGTTGGTCGCGCAATTTCGTGGATTGGTTGATGCTAGAAACTATCACCATTGGACGCTGGCTCAGTGGTCCAGTTGGTTAAGCGTTCGCGCGCGAGACCGAAGGCCCTGGGTTCGAGTCCCTTCGACGAGGGATCGTGGATGCGCACTGCTGAGGAGTCCCACAATAGGACGAAACGGCCGTCCAGTGCTTCCAGGTTTTCAATTGTGGTGGTCTAACATCAATCGGTTCATGATCTTAATCAAAAACTTAATAATCTCCACAACCCCTATACTAGTATAAAGTTTTTATTGTTCTTCTGAGCAATTTCATCAGCATAAACTGATGAAATCTCCATGACAAAATCATCCAATTCACAGAAGTAAAGTTCATTGAAACAATCTAACTGAGCTATAAGTGTTTTCTACCATCTTAATTACAGTTTATAAGTGATTATATGAAGATTTCATGTAAGTTGAAGATTGTCTTATTACATTACCAATCAAAAGGGTATTGAATAGTTGTTTTTATCTTATTATAAAGCTATACAACAATGAACAAATCTTATTTAACAAAATGTTGAACCTACAACTAAATGGTCTTGAAGAGAATATAAACTCAGAAGTGGTTTTGTGAATAGTTGAAATCATGAGTCAATTGAAAATAGTATCACCATGGAAAACCAGGAAGTACTGGGTGGCTGTTTCATCCTATTGTGTGACCGCTCAGCAGTGCGCATTTATGATCTCGATTCACGAGATTCCAACCCAGAACCTATCGTTTTCGCGCGTGAGCACTTAAGCATTAAACCACTAAGCCGGCATCCAACAGTGTTGATATCTAATTTAAACTAATCCAAGAAATTGAGCGAAACATCCTCTATTGTCTTCAGTGAATTACTATCTCACGACAGACCCTACTGAACTCTACTAGACACTGTTTCTCACTAGAACTCCAGAAAATACCTCTTGAAACCAGTCACTAGTGAGCATATGTTGAATAACATCGGAAGGGGTTTTTGTGGATATTATAGTAATTTCAATAGTTGAATTCATAAGTCAATTGGAGCTAAATCACCATTGGAAAACCTGGAAGAATGAAAGGTGCTGGTTTCAAATCTCGCTAGGCCAGATTGTGGATGTGCACTATTGAGGAGTCTCACAATAGGATGAAACGGCCATCTAGTGCTTTTAGGTTTTCCATGGTGGTCTAGCTTCAATTGACTCATGACCTCAACTATTAGAATATGAACTTTTTAAGTAACCAATACAATAGTTCCAAATTAGATGTTAATACTTGCTTCATGCCACTCTTCAACAGTAGGTATCTACGCATCAATCAGAAAGCTTTAATTCATAGCGAAGATTATTATTCAAATATACATCAATCAAAAATGTAAACCGAGAGTTTCATAGATTCGTTGAATATCGTCTTTTTATAATCGATTTCAGAAGAGATCAAAAGGAGAATTCTTTCGAACAAACAATACTCTAACATACAAAGTCGTAAGAATGAAAGATTCAATATACAAGGAGGAACAACAGAATTGTGTTTAAGATATCGAATGTCACATATGTAGGTGAAATATTAAGACAACTGAATGTGAGAATGAAGGAATACAAACTATGCTGAAAGCGATAGTATTACACTCAATAGAATAGGGTCATACAATTGATTTCAATAGCATAAGAATCCAGAAGAAAAGGTTATAATTCTTACAAAGAAGAAAGACTAACATTCAAAGACCTCCTATATAGTAATATGATTTAAATCTATATAAACAAAGCAAAGATCTATGGTGATTAGTAGTGAAATGCAGGATACAAGCCACTTTCTCCTAATTGGAACTCATCAACTGAATGTATCTTTATTGTAGAGTTGATGTCCACTCTAAAACTCCAACCCAGCATTGATCACTTCAAACGCCATCGCGTTATCCACTTAACTATTGAGTTCAAATAACCACTAGCTTGTGCAATGGAGGGGGGGGGTGAAGTTTAAATTCATTTTTGATTGTTTATTTCAATCTTCATATTGATGTTCAGGATTGCAGTCTTTTATTGGCATATATGTATTCTGTACGGATTACTTCGATATTGCCTTAATTCACAAGTATTATATGCAAAGATAGATAATGGCTAGCAGTGGAATTCAGGACGCCCGTTTCGTCCTATTTTGAACTCAGTAATTAAGTGGATAATACAATGACGTTTGAAGCAAACGGTACTGGCTTCAAGTCCCAGATTGGATATCAACTCTGGTATTGTCTGTTTATATCTTTTTATTGATGTTTAAGACTTCAATTAATCAGTCTCTTATTGGCCTATATACATCTTGTAAGGACTGCATTGATATTTGCTTTAAGTTATAAGCATTATAAACGAATATAAGAAAGAATCAGAAGAGGTTTTGTGAAGATTTTTTTTAGAAATTTCACTGGTTGAAATCATGAGTCAATTGAAGTTAGACCACCATAGAAAACCTGGGAGCCACTGAATGGTCGTTTCGTCCTATTGTGAGACTCTTTAGCAGTGCGTATCCATGATCTCGCCCCCCCCCTCCCACAGCGAAATTCAAATCCAAGATCTATCAATCTCGTTCGCGAGACTGATGGTCTAGCTTCAATGGACTCATCATTTCAACCAATGGAATATAAGAAATTTTAACAATTTACTTACTTGTAATTGATTCGTATATTTTTTTGTATTTGAATCTTGTATACGTCTACCCATAATAAGCCATTTTTGATTTGATAATGATGAAGTGAAATGTCCATTTATAAATGGTAATAATGGATTACATGATGAACAACTTAAAATTAATTCATTAATACCATCTAAATCATGTAATTGTGAATTTCTTGGTTGTCGATGTCGTTTTATTTTAGTCTTAGATTCAATTCTTTGATGATGATGATGATGATGATGAAGTCCTTCATTGACATTGATTAATTTTGACTTGTATTGATTTTGTCTGGGTACTTTCAATTCTCTTCTTGTTCTTAATTGATACATTGGATCCAGTTCATTATCATGATTATTCAAGTGATTACGTCTTCTTCTTCTTCTTCTTTTTGTTCTTGTTCTTCGACTATTTCGTTTACGACGATATTGATCAATATTACTTAATTGTGTACCATCATTACGTATTAATTTTAATGCTAAAGTTCTTGGTGTTAAATTTAATATGATTGATGCTTGATTCGGTTGTAAAATCATATCTTTGACAGAAGCTTTAAGAACTAAACAAAATCAACCAGTCAATCAATAAATCGATAAATCAATAAATCGATTATTTGATTATTTATGTGTATAAGATTAATATAGTTACGATATTGAGATGGTGCGGGAAGATTTGTAGCTCAGGTAGATGATTTTAATGGAGTTTTGTTCTCTGAGCTGAATGGTTTGGTTGTGAAGTTTTCATCGTTCTTCTGAACAATAGCATGATACCATTGGATGAAGTTCTTCCTAGTTTACCGATTGATATTATTAAGAATTCAATGATAAACTTAACATCTTGGAGATTTCAGTGTTTCTACAAAACAGGCAGGACTCTGGGTTTAATCCAGTATATGATAGTGGTTGAGTATTACTAAAGAGTCCTGGTATGGCCGAGATTGGGGAGAGTTATCTCTCCCTCTCTAAATGCTCTCACATAGCCAAGTGCATACAATCATTGACAGGGAAGACCTACTCATTACCTTCTCGTGGCAGGGCTGTTGTTTACAGAATTGAGAAGACGAAAAGTGAATATCCGGCGCTTTAATCGGGTTAGTGGATATAGAGGATCCATCTAGGCGATTTGTAAAACCCTGATTTCAAATGAATGGTGCAGATGAACTCCAGAATCTTGAGTAAACAAATGACGTATGAACTTATTGTTGATCACTGACTGCATCTGCTAAACTTGCTCCACTGAATTGTGGATCAGGTCAAAGACTCTGGGCATGGACCTCTGAGAAGACCACCTGGTTCGGTCTGGGCATCCAGGCAGTATCCCAGCCCTAACACCAATCGAATGATTGATATACCCCATTGTACCAATGTTTATGTTTTTAAATGAATGATAACATAAAATTCAGCAAAGATCATAGTTAAGGGTTATATTAATTAGCAATGCACCTTTAATTCGTTTGACATTTACTAGAATTCAATTATATTCTATAATGACTTCCTGATTGATTTATTAAACCAAGTTCATTCATTCATCTTTATGCATAGATTTTACATACGATCTATTTCAATGTTACTTACATTCTGATAGTCATTTATGTTATGTAACTAATAGGTTATTCCTTACTTATGCCTGTTACTCCTAATGGAGCATAAGCCGCCGACTTGCATTCTTTAACCCTTATTGGGTTATAATTAGAGAAAATAAGTGCACATCCACGATCCTACACAAAAAGGACTGGAACCCAGTACCTTCGATCTCACACGTCAACTCTTAATCTCAGTACTACTGAACTGTCATCCAACTGGATCCAGACAGTCGTTTAGTGCTTTCAGGTTATCAATGGTAGTCAAGCTTAGATCGATTCATGAATTCAACTGTTAAAATGACTACATTCTTAACAAATCCTCGCTCTCTAAATGGTTAAATAATTAAGAAAATAATTACTCTCAATTGTAAAACTGGATTGATAAAACACAGAAGTAACAAACTGAAACACTAAACTATTATTGCATTAAGTTATATATTACTACTTAACTAGTAATAGTGTTCAGCGACTTTCAACAACTTTTCATACCTTTGCTTAAATATTATATACCGTTTCTAAGCATTCAGTTACCATAGTTAGTTGGTAATCTACAATGAAAGCTTTAGGAAGATTATCTTACAGCATCTGTCAATTATAACTCAGGTATTTACCTCAAACAATAGAAGAAAAGTTCAACAAAATCATAAATCGATTGAAATTAGACACTAACATAGTTAGATACTGGCAACTTCAATGTTCTAGAGATTAAGCGTTTGGACATGAGACCGAATCTCCTGGGTTCGAGTCCGTTAAGTGTGAGATCGTCGATGTGCACTGTTGAGGAGTCACATTCTAGAATGAAATAGTCGTTCAGTATTCCTAGGTTTTCAATGGTTGTCTAACATTCATTCAATCACTACAATCTCCACAAACCTTCATTCTAATTATAACTCAGTTAATTAGTGAAGGTTTTCAGTGATAAGTGACGGGTATACAGTCGACTGGTTTATCTCCGAATCATCATTGTTACAATTAAAAAGGATAAGTATCAGAAGGGTTTTTGTGGAGATTGTAGTAATTTAAACAGTTGAGATCATGAGTCAGTTGAAGCTAGATCACCGTGGAAAACCTGGAAGCACTAGACTGGCTTCAAGATATATATCCTGGAGTTCTAGTGAGAAGCAGTGACCAGTGGAGTTCAACCGCGTCTTTTGTGAGATAGTAACTCACTGATGACAATGGTGGATGTGTCGCTCAATTTCGTGGATTAGTTGAAGCTAGACATTAACATCGTTTAATGCCGGCCCAGTGGTCTAGTTGGTTAAGCGCCTGGTGCGAGACTGATAGGTCCAGGTTTCGAATCTCGCGAGGTGCGGGATCGTGAATAAGCACTGCTGAGGAGTCCCATACTAGGACGAATCGACCGTCCAGTGCTTCCATGTTTTCCATGTCGGTCTAGCTTTGATTGACTCATAGTCTCAATTGTTTAAATTAAAAAGGATAAGGAAATTAATGTCTACAATCATATAAAATTATCATTTTAATGAATTTAATGTAAGCTTGGAAAAAACTGGAGAGAATTGTCCACGACAGGATTGGATGAAGAGTGCTGGTAGATGGCCTATACTCTTCCACAAAGAGTAACAGGCGTAAGTAAATGTAAGCGTCAAAATGGACTGACACAATTATATAACATGACATAGTTTCTAGTAATTCCATTCCTTCCCCTCCTTTCAGAATCATATCCATATATTAAATCCTCAAAGATTACGTAAGAAAAAAGCAATCAATAAATACTCACCTACATCAGCCATACAATAACTACTGGCAATATTTTCTAAAGTAATTGCTTGTTCACAAGGTACACATGTTACCGCTGAAATAAGTAAAAAGAGTAAAATAAGTAAGAAAAACAGAATCAATTAATGTTGGATTATTATTATTACTATTACTGATTATCCGAACATATGAATATTGGTATAAGGGGGGGGGCACCAGATATATATATATACCACACAAGTCACTTGATTTGAATGTGGGATATGATAATGCCTGGGTGTCCAAACCGAAGCAGGTAGTTCTCTTAGGGGACCATACTCGGAGATTTCGACCTAATTTTTTGTTTGTTCGTACAAAGTAGCACCAGATACATATGCGCCACACAATAATAATACGAATATGAAGAATATAAAGAATGTAAGGTAAGTATAAGAAAAAAGGGTTACAATAACGAACAAAAATTAGTGTATGATAGTGAAATGATTATAATGGGAGAGACAGTCCAATTAGCAGCAGTATAGCCAGAGAGAATATTTCCACTTAAAGAGGTTATGTCTTTTTTATGAAGAAAGTAAAATAAAGTTACAGCAGGATCTCCATCGGCTTCTATTCTGAGCCATATCTGATAACCTCTCTAGTCACTGTGTTACACCATCTCTAGGACCCCAACCAGGGAGTTGCGAAGGACCGATAGAAGTCAGTCCTGCACAGCTTTCTTCCATACCCCAACACCATGTCATACACTGACAACCTCTCCGCTTTTTCCAATCAGTCCCAGTGTCGGTAAATAATGAACGACGTGTAATTCTCTGGGACAACATTCCTAGAACATATTCAAGCCACCGAAGTCGATGTTTCAAGGTAGTGAAACTAACTGAATTATCGTCTCTGTGTCCAAACACACGATGCTGAACGTCCACATTACTAACATGGTGTTGCCACTGGATGTCAGCAATCCTTCGGAGACGACGATGATCAGACACAGAGAGTTGTTAAACATCCTCAACTCTGAGATACCAGATTTCAGAAGCATACAGCAAAACTGCTCTCACTGACGTACTGACATCACGAAGGCGCTAAAGTTGGTCTAGATTGGCATAAGCCTCTCTGGCTTTCACTATACGTGCATTGATCTCATCACTCACACCCCCACCAGCACTTATCGGCTACCTAGATACACGGACTTCTGCTCACCATCCAGGGTGAGTACAGGATCAGGGTCTTGGCAGTCTTGTATAAGTACTTTGCAATTAAAAGGTACAAAGCACATACCGTACCTACGGACATTGATTGCCAACTGATTACGTACGGATTGCATGGCTTGGGTATTATCGCACAGTAAGACAATATCATCCACATACTCAAGGTTGAGAAGTCTTTCTTCAGACAACAGATTCACGCCGCCATGCGTGTGCTAGTTTCCATTTCTAGCTATCATCCAACTCTGCTTACAATCTTAGTGACTTAATGGCAAATATCGAGACAATCCGTATAGAATGTAAATATACCAATAAGAGATTGGCCAATTACAGTCCTAACAATTTAGATGGTGGTTGGAGGTAGTCAACAGGAAACCCTGGACCCGGATTTCGTGCTACTTGGCACTCGTCAGCAAGGTGTACCTGTAATCTTGAGGGAACTGGTGCTCCCTAGCGGATTAGATCTCGTGTCACCCAGCTTCACAGTCAGAGACGTTACCACTGAGCCACTGAGTCACCTAGACTGGTGGCCACATTGCAACATGATCGATAGCATTCGATCTGCACTAATAAGGACTAGACAAGCATGAGATTGATCACCACCCAGTGATCAATCAATTGTGAGTCCTAACAATAAATGGAACGATTCAAACAACTAATATAAAATTAATGAAAATGTGTTTATAACTCGATATAGATTAAACATCACTTTCTATTAGTGATAATCATTAATATCCGTCTTTATCTCCCCTTCATCATATTAGTTAGACAGTCTATGAATGATGTAAAACTTATTACCAGGATTACAAATGTAGATAAGATTAATAATAGAATATGTGCAAGCACACACACAGACCCACACACACACATACATATATACATGTTCAGATTAATGTATATCATCATTGTGTTATTCTTTTGTTATACATTTTAGAGAAGTAAAACTCTTCTCAGTAGGCTTGATTGAAAAATAATGGTCATCTAAAAAAAAAAACACACGATAACAACAACAAACTAACTAACCCCTACTGAGTTGGATTGTTTAATTTTTTTTTTAAAAATCAGTATGGGGGTTTGTAAAGATTGTAGTAATTTTTAATAGTTGAATACATGAATATCATTCAGTGTTTCCAAGTTTTCCATATTGGTAATCGCGCAGGGGAGGGGGTGTGCAGGATCGTGGATGCGCACTGCTGAGGAGTTCCATACTAGGACAAAACGGCCGTACAGTGGCTTCCAGGTTTTCCATGGTGGTCTAGCTTCAACTGACTTATGATTTCAACCATTGAAATTACAAAAATCTCCAAAAAACCCCTTCTGATATTATAAATCCACTCGATATTGTTTATTTGAATCTTCTAATTGATTTGTATAGGACTGCAATTGATCAGTTTCTTATTGGCAAATGTACATCCTGTGCGTGTCGCCTCGATATAGCCTTAAGTCACAAGTATTATAAGCAGAGATGGATAGTGGTTAGCAGTGGAATCCAGTTTCATGTGCGTTTCGTTCCATTGGAGACTCATCAGATGGATCTACATGCATCTCAGAGTTAATGTTCACTTTAGGATGTGAACTTAATGTCATTCGCTCTAAACACCATCGTGTTATTTACTTAGCTAATGAGTCCTGATAGCTGTTTGTTTATGCAATAGGATGAAGTTTCAATTTACTTGGTATTGTTTGTTTGAATCTTCCCATCGATGTTTAGTACTGCAATTGATCAATCTCCCTTATTGGCATATGTGCATACTGTGCATATTGCCATGATATCGCCTTGATTCACAGGTATTATAAACAAAGATGGATAGTGGCTAACAGTTTAGTTATAAACAACAATGTGAAGATTCAAGTAAACAATATCAAGTGAATTTAAACTTCACTACATTCCACAAGCAAGTGGGTTCGAGTCCAGCAGTGAACATCAACCTTGTGATGCCGTTACATCTAACTGACAAGTTCAAAATAGGACGAAGTGATGTATTAGATATGTTATCGACTGTATACTGATGTACGTAAAGAAAAACAAATCAATGAAAAACAATAACTACCAAACATTGTAGTTGATTAACTGAGTTCATTTCATTTTGTCTACAGTAAATCTTTATTTATATTTTATTTATTTATTTAACACATAGATATTGGTACAAGGAGGCACTAAATATATATGCGCCACACACATCTCATTTGATGTGTGAGGGCTATGATACTACCCGGGTGCTCAAATCAAAGCAGGTGGTTTTCTTAGGGGGCCACATCCGGAGCCTTCGACCTGAGGGTCTGATCCACAAGGCAGTGGGCAACGTAAGGAGGTGTCGTCCCATGGTAGACGGTGACCAACTATTGTTTCATACGCCATTTGTTCCCTCAGGATACGGGAGCCCATGTGAACCATTAGTTTGGAATCAGGGTTTTCCAACTCCTGTAAGTGAAATCTCCTTGTCCACCAACCCGGATAAAGAGCCAGTCATTCACTTTTCATCCTCTCAATTTCGTAACCAACACCCCGCCACGAGGAGGTAGTGAGTAGGACTTCTTTGGCAGAGGCTATATACGCTTGGCCATGTTCTCACATGGCCAACTCTCGGCCGTACCAGGGCATTTTGGGACAAAATTTATATACATACTGATTTGTGGAAATAAATTCAATGTTATGCAAATGTAATTTACTTATGCCACTCACTAGTATAGAACGATTATTTTTTCAGGTTCAATTTATTGATAAATAATATAAACAAGAAAAATCATGATATAATAAAGTACATCAATACTAAGATCGTGAAAAGATTCAAGCTGACTAATCATTGAAATCTTGAAAACATTGCGAACTTGTTTCATCCTTAGATGGAATTTCTCAGTAGGACTGAGGTTGATAGTCAAGAATTCAATTTTCTGGTTGTAAAGTCATGGGTATGTACTGTTGTGAAGTCCCATACTAGGACAGAACGGATGTTGAATGTTCTCAAGCTTTCAACGTTTATCTGATTCAGATCGGTTTATGATCCTAATAAAATTTGACGATCACCACAACTTTATACCGATAGTTTTTTATTACAGTTGATAAAATGAATAAACGAATCTCGCAGGGCGGGATCGTGAATAAGCACTGCTGTGGAGTCCCATACTAGGACGAAACGGCCGTCCAGTACTTCTAGGTTTTCCATTGTGGTTTAACTTCAGTTGACTCATAAATTCAATGATAAAATTACAAAAATCGCCACAAAATCCCTTCTGATAATAATCATCGTGTGCCCACTAGTGATTGGTTTCATGAGGTATTTTCTGGAGTTCTAGTGAGAAGCAGTGACCAGTGGAGTTCAACCGCCTCTTTTGTGAGGCGGTGATGATGAATATGTTGTTCAATTTTGTGGATTAGTTGAAGTTAGACATTAACACCGCTGGATTCCGGAAATTTCCGTTGTCTGCAATAAAACAGTTAATTCTTAGATCCATGATGAATGTCCATTTTTTTTATTTGATAATGAATACCACGGACATTTGGATGGTGTAACATCCATGTGTATTTACCAATTCAACTGCTCCTGCAGGGCCAGTTGTATAGAGCGTACAATTTGACAAGTCCATCATCATATAGAAGAACACTATTCGTTCTGATTGAACAAAGGACAGGTAAGAATGATTAATAGTTCTATTCTCGCTTACTTGATAATGGACACAGATCATCAAGTTGACTTAAATAAAGCTTTTTAGGTTATCAACTATATTCTACAAGTTAGTCTTTTGCACATGGCTGAAGTTATTGGAATCCATATTCACAAAACCAAACCTTTACATCGAAAACAAGTTTATACAATCACTTTCGTTACCTTAGATACAGGTATAGGAGTGAGTTGGTAACAGAATATTGATAAACTATATCTGAATTTCTTCCACTTCA